CACTCCCCCCGCCCCAGCGACCCCCGCCATCAGCGAGCCGTGGTTCATTTTTGGGGTGCCCTCCGGGATGGCGGGTCACTCTACAAAGGGTCTTACGAGGGCTGGTACTGCACTCCCGAGGAGTGCTTCCTGCCCGAGAGCCAGCTCGCCGAGCACAGGGACGCCCAGGGACGCCCGTGCAAGGTGTCGTTGGAGAGCGGCCATCAGGTAACAGTGCCGGCCCGGTCAAGGGTGGCCACTCCTGCAGAAGCACTTCACTCTCATCTGTGGCTCCGGTCTGGCCGAATTTGGGGGTGTTTAATGCTTCCCGTAGCCTTTTGTAATTCATGTCAGCTGAGTCTCGCCTGTGTTTCATAGGACGTCTCTTCTGTGTTTGTAGTGGTGTGTGGCTACGCAAGGGAGAGTGGCCAAAATCCCAACCAGCAGATGCAAATTTCAGCCATGTGCCATGGGAAGGATTCAGCTGCTGCTGGGTTCTGCAGGCTGCTGGCCTGGAAACAGTGTTTTAAAGCGGTGATGAAAGAAGTTTGCTGCGCGGAAGGATAAAGGTGTTTATAACTGAGGTGTTCATTGGGTGTCCGGAGTTTCAGACCTATTTTGTGAGGCAATTCAGTTTGGCCTCTGGATGCTTTTCATCAATCTTGTTACATGGATTTTGGCCCTACGTAGAACGCCGTGACGTCATCTGCCTGTGGTCTAGTCTGATAACTGAATCGCAGTGCAACTGGGAGTGTGGTACCTGACCGAGAGTCTCTCTGCCACTGTGTTTTCTGTAAGGTGTCAGGAGTTACATGATTTAATCCAGCAGTTGCAGATAATCGTGCTTCAGAGCTGAGCAGAGGTTATGTTCTTGTGATATTTGTACGAGGCTGGGGCGTAGGAGTGTTGGTTCACACGGAAAGGGGTATGTTAGTAAATAATATCTCATGATAAGGCACCTAATGTAGCTGGGGAAAAGATAAGTTTCCAGGCAAAGAAATCATTCTTTATATCTGAAGTAGAGTCAGCAGGCTTCAAAGTCAAATATACCCTGAGAACAATTACTTGCCTTAGCTGCGTATAAAACCGTCCAAGAGAAACAGTAGTGTGCGTGGTGCAGAGATTATCTTGCAAGGTGGTGGAAAGAGATGGTAGGTGTTTGTCTCCAACCAGAAAGAGACAGTTGGGTAGTTTGTTGGTTGAGGGTTTTGTGAAGGAAAAGGGGGAGTTTACAACATGCCATAAAACCTGTACTTCTGGTGAGCCTCTGATTTTTGGTATCCAATAGAGCCTGGGGGTAAAAATGTATAGCTCATCTTTGAATGATGCTCTTCAGGTCTTCCTTGAACGCTGAGAGATCAGAGTCTGTTCTGTAGGAAATGATCCTCCTTCATCACTCTGTTCCTGTGCTTTTGTGTCATTTAATGTGCAGAGAAGCTGGAGAGGAGCCACCAGAGGCTCCCAGTGTGGTCTCGGTATGGAGCACAGGCCTACAGGAGGTAGAGGGAACTGGGCCAGTTTAGTTTGGCAAACAGGATGCGAAGGGACAAGCTAACAGCAGCCTACACCTACTTGCAGGGCAGTTACAAAGAGCACAAAGCCATATGCTTCTCAGGCATGCCGGGTGCTAGACCAAGGGGTAATGATGCCACAAGCTGTGCTGCGGCATCAGGCTGGGCATTAGGATAAGCTCTTTCCCCAGGAGGGTGGTGCAATCCTGGGGCAGGTCCCCAGCGAGGTGGGGGAGCCCCATGCTTGGGGTGTTCCAGCCTTGGCCGGGTAAAGCTCTAGTCACCCTTGGCTGGTGCCAGCTCTGCACAAATATTTTTGTGTAACTGGTTTATGATTTGTGTAGGGAAGAATATTTCTTTTGGGGTGACCTTATAATCAAGTAAGCAAAGGTAGTATTTGCTACTGGCTGCTACTGAAATTAGATAAATTCAACTACATCATAAAGAAGTTAGGGTATGTCAGCTTGAGGTGTGGTAGGCTCTTTACTGCTTGTATTGAGAGTGAGGCACTTTCTGGCTCAGTCAGAGGTCATCACGTTCAGTGCTAGAAACTGAAACTCTCCTGCATGATGCCAAAGCCTATAATTTCTTATCTTAGAGCCTTATTTAGTTGTAAAAGAATTCTTGACCTAGCCATAGATCTCTTGAGTGCCTTTACACAGCTCACTCATAGTGTATCTACCCACAAAGTTTTCATTGATTTAGCTAAATGTGTCATTTAAATGTGTGGGAGAAGTGCTGTCAGTACTTTAACATGATCATAGACTAAGAAAGTTAGCAACTAAGATGCACTAATGCTTAAACTGGGGAAAAAGAGGAACATAGCACCTAGGAGAAAAGCAAAGGCACACACCAGGATTGTTATTAAGGCAGTAATTAACAACCTCATTGTGTCTTTTCATAATTTTCTTCTATTATTGCAAAACTACGTTTTTAAGAAAGTGTATTCTCATCTCCCTAATTATTGCCTGATGACACATCAATCTGGCAGGTAGAAAGGTATTCCTTCCCTGGGGGCACGAACATCTTTAAAAGCACAGTGTTGAGCCATCCCAAGTGCCTAAGTCCTTACGTGTTGCCCTGGGGAACCCAGGGAGGTGGTGTCTTAGGAGAGGAGATTCCCACCACTCATAGAAAAGATACCAGGGGCTTCACACTTGGTGGGGAGCACACCCAAAGTCAGAGGGAGTGTGTGACAAGCTCCACGCTGAGAATGCTGTGTGCAGATTGTAAAACTGTTTGCAGAGCGTTTGGGCTGTAAGTCTTTTCTCTCCTGCTTTCTCAGGTGCACTGGACCAAAGAGGAGAATTACATGTTCAGGCTCTCGGCGTTCCGGGATCCGTTGCAGAAGTGGCTCCGGGACAACCCACGTGCCATTTCCCCTGACCCTTTCTACCATTGCGTGCTCCGCTGGCTGGAAGAGGACTTGCCAGACTTGTCCGTCTCTCGTGAGAGAAGTCGGCTGCCGTGGGGTATCCCTGTCCCCTGTGACTCAACACAAACTATTTATGTATGGGTAGATGCCTTGGTGAACTATCTGAGCGTGGTGGGCTACCCTGAGACACACGGTGAGTGGTGGCCTGCTGCGCACCATGTTGTGGGCAAGGACATCCTCAAGTTTCATGCTGTCTACTGGCCAGCTCTGCTGATGGCAGCAGGGCTGGCCCCCCCCGAGCGAATCTTTGTGCACTCCCACTGGACTGTCCATGGGCAGAAGATGTCCAAAAGCCTGGGCAATGTGATTGACCCCTTTACTTGTATTGGACAGTACACGTTAGATGGATTTCGGTACTTCCTGCTAAGGCAGGGTGTACCTGAGCGGGATTGTGACTATTATGATGAGAAGGTTGTTAAGCTAGTGAATTCAGAACTGGCAGATGCGCTTGGGGGGCTTCTGAATCGGTCGACAGCCCTCAGCATTAACCCCAGCAACACTTACCCTTGTTTCTCAGAGTCTTGTTTTCCAAAGGCCTTGGATTACAGGGGGACAAAAGGCATGGGTAGGGCTTCTGCTGAAGACTATGAGTTTGTGGCATCTGTGGCTTCTCTGCCTCTGCAGGTGGCTAGTTACTTTGAAGGTTTCCAGATCTACAAGGCTTTAGAGTGCATTGCCCTGTGCGTAAGGCAGACCAACGGTTTCTTCCAGAGACACAGGCCTTGGAAACTTGACCGAAAGGACCCTGCAGAGCAGCTCTGGCTTGACACCATCATCCACATTACGCTGGAATGCCTGCGTGTCTATGGGACTCTCCTGCAGCCCGTGATCCCACACACTGCAGACAAGTTGCTTTCCAGGCTGGCTGTTGAGCCAGAAGAGAGAGGTCTCTCAAGTTTGACATTTCTGCCACGCTACCATGGGAAGCCATGTCCCTTTGAAGGGAGACAGCTTGGGCCTGACACTGGCATCTTATTTCACAGACTAGAGAAGTCAAGACAGCATCAGATAGAAACAAAGAAGCTCTAGTCTCTGATAAAGAGCTTCTGTAAATAAAAGCCTCCGGGAACTCCCGGAAAATGTCGTCTTTGTTAAAAACATGTTCCCCCTGTCTCTTGGTGGTGGTATAAAGTGGAGGAGTGGAAAACCGGACTGAGCAGGGCTATCCTGTCCTGCCTAGGTGGCTGGCATAGGTCTCTGCCCAATGGAAGCAGACACACTCAGGCAGATTGGTTGCGTGAGCGGGGCCAAGAGCTAGGACAGCTTCTTGGGTAACACCCTTGAAGGAACACCTAATCAGCTAAGTTGGTAACAGAATGAACTGAAGATAGAGCCTAGGGTTTGAATGTTGCTGCTTTTTTTCCCCTGATGTATTTTATGGGACATAAAAAGCAGCTGAGGCAAATATTTATCCCCTTACAATAGGGAACTCTTCCTATACAGTCTTGGGGCTCCACTAGAGAGCCCTCTTGCCTGTGTCTCATATCTTTACTTCCTGGCCCCTTTAACCTTTTCTTTTCTGATGTGAGGACTGGGTCAGGTGCTCTGCTGAGGACATTTTAAAGATGAATGTGGCAGCTGATCTGCTCAGGAATCTTTTCCAGAGACATCAACTCCCCAATTTGCTCGCTCCAGGAACCCCTCCTCAGGCTAGCATTCAGGCTCACTCTCCAAGAGGATCGAACTACCCCTGAGGAAAGAAAGGGTCTTTCCTGGGGCCTTCTCGGTGTTGTCTCTGCTCACACAGGGAGAGGGCTGAGAAGCAGTTCTGCAGCTAAGTGTCCTCGTCTCGACTTTGCTGCGCAGGTTTTTGGCCAGGCCAGAAGTAGCTGGGGGTAGTCAGAAATGGTTTCCTGGTAACATCTCTGGGATGTAAGTCCAAGTGGGTCTGTTGGGTCCATCAGCTGAGCTTCCTTTATGGGCCAAAACCTCAGTTCAGCTGATGTCTATGTGAGCCTTAATGGGGAGGATCCCTTCTGTGTCACTGCTCTTTATAAAGCAGGCAGTCCAGTGAGACAGGATGGTTCAGTGGTCAAATGGGTGGTCTCGCTCAGCTGCATAGACCTGCAGACATCCTTCCAAAGTTGAAAAGGAGGGATGTATTTCAGCCCCAGTCTCAACTTTATGAGGACTTTCTGCCTGCTGCGTTTATTGCACCTTCTTCGTTTTATGTCAGTGCTGCTGGAAGCAGGCAGCTGAGCGCTGATACCCTGGGGCAGTTGTGACCACTTGGGGACCTCTGGTAAATCCTTCCCAGCCTTTGGCTCCTCCAGTTCCCACTAACTGCCTGCACTGCAGGAGTCTTCTTGTATCGGGGGCCAATCTGAGGAGGCCTTTTGGAGCTGCCTGGGCTGCATTTCCAGCCCCCTTGGAGCACTGTGGGTCTCTGCGGTCACAGGAGAGGGAAGGGCAGACCACAACGCTTGTCCCTCCTATTGTCCTCGTGGTTCTCCATGATGCCCTCCCTGTGCTGCAGCATGCTGTCCAGCGTATTTCAGGTTACCCGTGAGAAGAAAGCAAGGCCCCCTCAGCCCCCTCCTGTGGCGGTAATCCTCTTCACCTGGGCAGTTTTACCTGGTACCCCTTGCTCCTGCCATCCCTGCGTGCACGCTTCGGCTGCTGCCCTCCATGCCGTCGCGCTGTGAGTGCTGGCTCCTGGTGCAGGCAGAGGTGCCTGCTGCCCCGCTCCACACACGAAGGATGGGGGCAAGAGAGGCCCCATCCCGTTCCCCATCATCTCTGATGCTGACAGCGGCCGGTGGGAGTGCCATCGCAGCCCTAGGAAGCCAGGGAGAAGGGCCAGAGGCCCGACTCGTCTCTAGCAGGAGCTGCCGCGTGTCCCCCTGCCAGCACCGGTGTGGGCACCTCCATCCACGCCGGAGCATCCGTGTGCTGCCTGCGTGGGGCTCTTCTGTAGACCTCAAACCCGAGGGTGGCAGCCCCTGTGGCCGTGGCTACAGGCTTTTTCTGGCATCGCTGGCCGTGGTGAGAGTGAGCGAGTGCCTTGGCATCTCTCGGCTTTTGAAGCGTGTGGGGGCTTCTGTCCCCCAGTTCCTGGTCCTGCCCCCACCCTCTTCCCACCACTGGCCTTGGACTGGTCTCCCTCCCTCCCAGAAGGTGACCTGTGTCGCTGCCTGCTGCCCTGCCGGTCCCCCAGCCTGCCCGGGAAGGCAGCCGGTGGGGTTCCCGGGTTGCCGAGGCAGTTTGTCCCCGCCTCTGTCGCTTGAGCCCGGCGCCGGTCGCCCTCACCCGCAGAGGGGACGCCGGCCGGGTCCCCGAGCCCAGGCGAGTCCCCGCAGCCTCGGGCCTGGCAGGGACGGGCAGGGGGGGC